TTATCAGGGGGTGCCGGCTGGGGGATGGGCCACGGGAGGTTGGCCAGTCGGCCCCACCCCCCCTGAATGGGCCGGTTTGCTGGCCGCAGTGGGCATCATAGCAACCAGTCTTTCCGGTTGTTATGGTGCTCTGGTCGCTGGCCTTTATATACATAGATAGATGCTTAGATTTTAGCAGTATCAGTGTAGAGGGCCACCTATGCTTAGATATTGGTGATTTGTTGTTTGAACAAAAGAAGGCACATGGCTGAATGTTTCATAGTTCTCTGTTGTTTTGGCAAATGTTTGAAGGGGGAATGAGAAGAGACCAAAAGACTGACTCAATGTAGAAAAATTCCTGAGTTTCAGTCTTTTCTACAAACAATTGTTAGGTGCTTACAACGTAAAAGTAGTTTTACCAAGTAAAGAACCAAGACTTCAAGTAAGCTTAAGCAAGGATTTTTTGTTATTGTTAATCCTCACCTGAGGCTATTTTTTCCATTGCTTTTCTGAGAGAGTGGAAAGTCAGGGGGGAGAGGGAGGAACATCGGTGTGAGAAAGGCACATTGACTGGTTGCCTCCCGCATGCACCCTGGGGAACGAACCCAAAACCCAGATACATGACCTTGACCAGGAATTGAACCTGCAACCCTTTGGCACACCGGCCAATGCTCTAACCACTGAGCAACCAGTTAGGGCAAGCAAGGATTTTAAAAGGAATTCCTCTCCGTTGTCCTCTTCTTCCTCTTTCTTCTTTTCTTAAATGACTATTTTGGGCCACCGTCTAATTTTTAGGTAGCCACCAGGCACCAAAGACAACAGCAATAGCAACAGCTTAAAACTCTTTAAAACAGTGGTTCTTAACCTTGGCTGCACATTAGAATCACCTGGGAATCTTTTTAAAAATCCTCCGGGATGAGGCCCAGAAATCAGGATTTTTAAAAAGATTCCCAGGTGATTCTAATGTGCAGCCAAGGTTGAGAACCACTGCTTTAAAAGTTTAAGTAAATATTGGTAACAAAAATAAGGTGCTGAATGCCCATGTGATCTTTACACAACAATGCCTCTGACCCACAATCCATGCATAGTTCATTTTAAGTTATTTATTTCACTGGTGATAATGAATGACAGGTATACATTTATCAGGTGGGTAACAAGAACTAGGGGATGTTTTCTGTGACTGTAAGTTACTCTGAACAAAGTTAGCTTGCTCGTTCTTGATTGAACTTGTGACCTTGGCCTCGTTAACACCTGCTCTAAGGAAAGATTAAAGGGAAGCAGCTTGCCAGCTGCATCCTTTTGCTGTCGGGGTAATTACTACAAAGACTGCCCCGTTAAGGACCTGGAGATCTTAAAGTTTTGAAATTTAAAAATGATTAAGGGAATCCTTTCATAAATTTTATTCGGGAACCTTAGATTCAGTCTTACCATGGTAGACCAAGTGGTGTTTTGTGGCTTGTGTTAAATACAGTAAATATTGTCTTCAATTGATTACTAAGTTACAGTGTTTATTTTTTGAGTGTTTGCTAATTTAATAAAAATGTATTACCCTGTTAGCTTTTGGACAATTGTAGGGCAATTAGACATATTTGCTGATTATTTGTATTGTAAATGTTTTTTTCTAAAAATTTGAATCCTGGCCTTTTAAGTGTCATATAGTGGCACAAAGAGTAAGAAAATAGGCCAAAATATGATGAATTAAAAGGAAATTTCCATTAAAGAAATGAGAAATTATTAGATTATGTAATATTCCTAAAATGTTCGCCTGATCTACTTTAATGCTGAGAAACATTTTTTACAGTGTTTTCCTTATGATTAACACTCAAAAATATGATTAATAGAGAAGGGATATTTTGTAAAAGCTTACAAAACATTAAAAATACTTTGATGTTGCCCTAACCTGTTTGGCTCAGTGGATAGAGCATCAGCCTGCGGACTCAAGGGTCCCAGGTTTGATTCCGGTCAAGGGCATGTACCTTGGTTGTGGTCACATCCCCAGTAGGGAGTGTGCAGGAGGCAGCTGATCGATGTTTCTCTCTCATCGATGTTTCTAACTCTCTATCCCTCTCCCTTCCTCTCTGTAAAAAAAAACAATATATAAAAAAAAATACTTTGATGTAAAAAAAACAACATAGTTTTAATCTCATAAAACTTGTCTCATTTAAGGAAATTAAAATTTGATAGGGCATTTACTAATATGATTTGCTCTACTTTTTCTAAATTAGTTAATTGTACTTTTTTAAAATATATTTTTATTGATTTCAGAGAGGAAGGGAGAGGAAGAGAGAGATAGAAACATCAATGATGAGAATCATTGTTCAGCTGCCTCCTGCACGCCCCCTACTAGGGATCAAGCCCACAACTTGGGCCTGTGCCTTTGACCAGAATCCAACCCAGGACCCTTCAGTCAGCAGGCAGACGCTCTATCCACTGAGCCAAACCAGCTAGGGCAGGGGATGATGTTCTTGATCATTGCTAGTCTGGATCCCCCAAAGCCACAGCCAGGCACTGGCGCTCAGAGGAAGCCGGACCGTGTATGTTCACCTGCCCTTTAAGAGGACCTGCTGGGTCTCCAGCAGCCTCCGTGTCCTCAGCCACAATCCCCGCTGGTTTTTATAAGCCAAAGTCTGTGGCTTCTCTTCCCAGCTCTGGAATCCTGGGCTGGGGTCTGGTGTGGGGCTGGGACCCCTTGCTTCTCACAGGAGGCCTCTGCAGCCGAGATATCCCTCCCTATTGAAAACAATGCCACGTGTCAGTGTTGGGCCAGCCCGTTCCTCATGCACCTCTCCTACCAGTCTCCATGTGCTTCTTCTTGCAATGCCACGTGTCAGTGTTGGGCCAGCCCGTTCCTCCTGCACCTCTCCTACCAGTATCCATGTGCTTCTTCTTGACTTCTCTAGTTGTAGGACTTCCATTCAGCTAGATTTCAGGCGGTTCTGAATGATGGTATTTTGGTTGTTTTAAAGGCGGTTCTGAATGATGGTTGTTCTGTATTTTGGTTGTTTTAATCTTTTCTTGTATTGAGGAGATGGGGCATCTCATAAAAGGAACCAATGATTAGTAATGTTGGAATAGGTGGATAATATTGGCTTCTAGCTCTCAGTTACCTAAAATACAAGTGGGTACAGGGGAGAGAGTAATCAAAAGACCAGAGATTTTAAGGCAGGAGTATATCAAACTCAAGGAGAACAATTGTGATTTAGATGGAGAAGGAAAAAGAAAATGATTTCACTTAAATGTAAAGCACTGTTGAGAGCTGTGGACACATACTGATAAGATCATGGATACACTGTTGGTGAGAATGTAAGTTGGCCTCACTTATGGAGGACAATTGGATAAGACTAAAATCCTTAAATATATTGGTATCTTTTTCATGGAATAATAATGCATTTTTGAAAGAAAAATGATACTGTAATAACAATTGTAGAAGTGTGACTTGTTTCTGTTTCTTAGACTATTAGTGCATGTTAAGTCAAGAGCCCTAAACCTTTTTGCTCCCTGATAAACTAGTAGCTATATATGACTAAATCCTAGGGAGTTGAATATTTTTAATAGTAAACTAGATTTTTATGAGAGGTAATATTAATAAGTAAAAACAAAAGCATAATTTTGGTAGAAAATGTGTTACACAGTGTATATATAATATTGTGATGTTATTGAACTCAGCGGGATTTAGAATCAGTTCGTAGTCATAGACCTGATGGGTGCTGTACTAAGTTCAGTATTTATTGACTGTTTGATTTTTATGTTTTCTTACAGGTGATTGGTCTGTTGGATGTTTTTACACCGGCAAGGTCTCTGGAGGAATTCAATGATGTGTGAGTAAAACTTGTGCATTTGTCTTCCTCAGCTGGAAGATGAAAACTAGCAGCCCGTGTCTATTCCTGAGCCATTTAGCAGTATACAGACTTCAAAAGAGTCTTTAATTCTATCGTCCAGTTCCCCTGGGGGGTGGGATAGATACAGAAGAGTGTATTATGGGTAGTGAATGTATTTTCATCATTTCAATCATATTGTACTCTATTTGGAGAGTCGGTGGTGAGTCCTTGCAAATGTTCAATGGAAAAGAGTATAGGGAGTTTGGACTATGATTTTTGTTCTGAACTTATCTGCCCCAGCTTTTAAAGGGACACTTTACATGATTACATTTACATAAAGATAAGTAATGGCCCCTTGGTTCCACATAGGTTCTTCCTTCTCTTTTATCCCACCCGTGTGTGGGAACTGGTACTAGGACTGCATGCTGACCCTGAAGCATTGCATTTCTGCACTGGGACAAGGGGTGGGCCTCACATATTGAGAAAGCTGTTGAATAGTTCTGATTCTCCCAGTTTTGTGACCATCTCTATTATTTTAGTAGTGGGGGCTAGGGAAAATGAGACAGGGAAAGAGAGAACGCTGCTACAAGGATATGTTATTAAGTTGCTCATCATTGTGGGCTGGTGGGCTAAACACTGCCAGGATCTTCTAGGAAGCTATACAGAGGGCACCTGAGATGGAGAGCATTTACCCACTGGCAAGGTTACTCCATGGGGCATTCGTGCCCTCATGTGCCCAGGTTATATATGTGTGAATGCAAGACACATGAGTGCACAGGTGTGAGTGCAAGATAGATTCCAGCAGGTATTTTTGTAACGTACAAGCACTCCATTGCAGCTTTCCCACTACGGAATTAGCACACCCCCTCCCAGAGTGGTGTATTTTTTTTTTTTACCAAGGCTGAACCTACATTGACACATCATAATCACCCAAAGTCCATAGTTTACCTCAGGGTTCACTCTTGGTATTGTACATTCCATGGATTTGTACAAACGTATAACAACATATTATTTTGATGTACACTGTATTTTCATTGTCCTCAGAATGATGGTTTTGATATTCTGCCTATATGTGGAAGAAATGCTGAAGTAATGTGTTTGTGAATTACTTTGGAAAACATTCGAATCAGGTCTGAGCTATATCCCAAAATTTTAGGTACAATGAAGATGGATTTATTTAACAAAGAAATTAATGATTTGCTGACCTAGGCAAATGCTGTATTTTGGCTTAATCAGGCATTATGGAACTGGATTATTCCTATGTGAAAAGACCTTATTTAAGGCTAGTGTCTATTTGAAAGGTTAAGTTTTATCCATTGTAGTGCCTTTGGCTCCTTTATCCTTTTGAAAGCCTACCAACTTAAGCATACCCACTGAACCAAAGTTGTACTTATTTCTTCTTTGAAGGAGTAGAAGAATTAGACTCATGGGTGTCTGGTGGGAGAGCATCCCAGGCAGAAGGAACCGCCAGTGGAAGGCTCTGTGGCGGAGGCTGCGTGATGTGTTGGAATTGCAGCAGGGGCCTGTGTGGCTGGAGTAAGACTAGCTGGTGTGGAGCTGAGTGAGAGCAAGGGAGAGAAGTAGGTGATGAAGTGAGAGTGATCATTGGGACGGCCTACTGGATTATGTAGGGCTTTATATGCAGTTGAAGGGATTTTTGCCTTTTGATGGGAGGAGGGACATGATGTGATTTTTATTTTTAAAGAATTATTGTCTGCTGTGTTGAGAACAGACTGTAATAAGTCCCAAGGATCATTGAACGTATTTCAGAGGCTTGCGATTGTCAATCCCTGTGATTATTTTAAATAGTTTCTTTAAATATGGAAGTGTTTTTTGCCTTTTCATAATTGTGCTTTATCAATTAGGGCTGGCAGTAGGAAAGATGCCAATCTGTAGATGTAAAAGTTTTTTCCTACATAGGTTCTTTCTGACTATTATGCCTTAAAAATAAAGGTGGTAGGGTAGGAATCTTGACAATTGGGTGTTACCCAAAAGTGCCTAATAACTGAAGTTCTAGAATAAGGCTGTCTACGGTACTGAAAATCACTTATTGTAGACATTTGCCTTCTTGCCGGTACAGTACATGTTAGTATGAATCACTTTAAGAAATGGTGGTTTATACTGTTTATAGTTTGATTAAATTTAAAGGAGGCCATTTTCACAAGAAAAGTGAAAAACAAAATTTGTATCACCCCATGAAATAACCTTTTCCGCCTTTAGCCTAATAAAGTCCTACTCATTTACCTCCTTTTTAAAGATGGGAGAACTAGGTATAGAGCTGTCCAGCTGTTCTCAAGTCAGACCTTTAATTTATTTGAGATGTTATGAACACTGTCATGAGCACAGCCTTTAAAAAGATGTAATTACATTTGCTTTCCAGAGACAAATGCTATAGAAGCTGGGCTACCTAGTAATGCTCCTTTTGGAATTGACTTGTTTAAAATGTGTTCATCTACCATTTCCTCCCACTCCCTGGTTCACTACTTTTACAAGTTGGCATGATGCTTGCTTTTGGCTACTATTGAAAGATTCATTTTGGAAACCTTTCTATATGTGATGAGTTGGAACTGGACAATTGGTTGTCATGAATTAGTCTTTGAGCTTCATGGAAACAACATACAATGATTTTGTTAATTCTTGCAAGACACTTCTGCCAGGAATAATGCTTTTCAGTTGATTTAGTTGCAGCCTAGCAGCAGTGCTTGGTAGTTGTTACTGTATAGACTGGTCTTAAATACTTACGTAGTGTACGGTCTCACCCTCCATCTGGAAATTTTCGTGATAAAATGGATGTGGTCTCTGATGGGGAGGAGGCTTGAAGAAAATTACATGCTGGTGGAATATTTAACTAAAAATATGATCTCTCTCTCTCTCAAGCTTTGCAGTCAGGGGTCTCCTGGCTGTATAGGATTCCTTGTCACTGGTAATCATTAAAACACAATAGTTATGCTTGAAATTACTGTGGTTGCATTGGTAATACTACTGCTTAACACTTTTGTGAACTAGCAGACATGTTAGAGGGTTAAGACTTTTAGGTTTTATTTCAAGACAAATTAAGGCAGATTCTAGGTAGAATCATCCAAAACATTGTTTAACTTTTCTCCTTAAAATTGTTTTTAATTGGTGAGAGAATAATCCTCTTACTACTTGATGTCATAAAATAGAATTATTTGCAAAGCAGTCTTAAAAGACAGAAATAGAATCTCTCTTCCTCACCTGAGCCTTGCAATTTGTCATAATTGGTGTTACGGATATTGCAGCCATCTGCCCAGGTTTTGGGGGAGAAGTTCTGATTACAAAATATTAACCAGTTATTCACAGTTTTATCATATTTGTCAGATTATGTGTCAATTTTGGGTTTAAAAAAAATACAGTGACTGATTAGGATAGAATATTCGTTGCTGCTTTGCCAGCTTTCTTTTTCATTAAAGATTAACTTTGATAATAAATATTGAGAATTGATAAGAAAATTATCAGGAGATACTAGTTCCCTGGTTATTGTGACATTTATAAAATATTTTAAAAAGATCATTCTCTTGACTTAAATTTTTTGTCAGCTGGAAGAATTCAGAGGCAGTATGTGCTGTGATTAAGATCACAGTCTCTGCAGTCAAATAGTTTTGAATGCAACCCCTGACATTTCCACTCTTTTAACCTTGGGCAAGTTGTATTTTCTTGTTCTGTCTCTGTTTCCTCATCTATGAAATGGGACTGCTAATGGGACTTACTTCACAGAGTAGTAGAAAGAGTGCATGAGACATGGGTGTAATGAATAGTGCCTGGTGCAGAGTAAGCACTACCTGCCTTTAGCTATGCTATGCTGGGCTTGGAACATCTCTTAAATAAGAACTATCTTTATGAAAAAAATTCAAAAAGCCCAATTTTTTTGGTTTGTTTGTTTTGTTAATCCTCACTCAAGGATATTTTTACATTGATTTTTAGAGAGAGTGGAAGAGAGAGGGAAAGACAGAGAGAAACATCGATGTGAGAGGAACACATCGATTGGTTGCCTCCTGTACCAACCCCACCAGGGCCCGGGCCAGGAAGGAGCATGCAACCAAGGTACATGCCCTTGACCGGAATCAAACCCAGAACCCTTTGGTCCACAGGCTGATGCTCTATCCACTGAGCCAAACCAGCTAGGGCACAAAAAGCCTAATTTATACTTCATGTTACCTTTAGAGTGCAACCTTTCCTCAAAGGCAATTTAAATGTGCAACTTTTAAAAATATGAAATGCTAAAAATCTTACCTTAGGTCACATACATCTAGGCTAACTCCTTTTGATCTTGGTGCAATTGGGAACTGACCATAGCAGCCCAATAGGGAATTAGGAAACAAAAAATTTCCATTCCCCTTTGAGGAAAGAAATTAATAAATATAATGGTGTGTGTGTGTGTGTGTGTGTGTGTGTGTGTGTGTGAAGAGAGGTTATACACATATTTATTCATATAATGCATTATAGTAGACTTAAATTTACTGGCCTGGTTTCTTTCCCTCCAAATTTATTTTTTAAAAAGAAAGAAATGCAATGCAATCAGCATTCTTTAAAGCTGAACTAATCTACATTATTATTCAGCCTCAGGAATAGGTTAAGTTCATACACAGTAGATAAACCTATTTTTTAAAAATTCAGCCTCTTTAGTATTGATGTGGTTTTTACGTTCCCCTCCCCTTGTAATACAATAATGAGTAGGTAAGGCATTGCATGTAAAATATCTGTGGCAGACCTGTTGGACTTGAATGTAATCATTTCCTCATCTTACTGTGTAATAATAGGATTAATTACCAGCACCACACCTGTGAGGAGTCGTTCTGGAATGCCTCATCTTGCTTACAGATAAAATGTGTTCCTCCTTTCTTTAAAGTAAATGCAGGAATACCATGAGTGAACAGTATTCTTAAACCAGTCATTTCTGAAAAATGTTGTTATAATTTGAAAATTTAAAGATACTCCTATTTTTTTAGAACCTACAACTTGGAGTGAGGTGAAAATGCAATGATGGATTTATTTTTAATTTTTTTATATTTTTATTGATTTCAGAGAGGAAGGGAGAGGGAGAGATAGAAACATCAATGATGAGAGAAAACCACTGCACACACCCCCCAAAGGGGGTCGAGTCCACAACCTAAGCATGTGCCCTTGACCGGAATTGAACCTGGGGCCCTTCAGTCTGCAGGCCAACACTCTATCCACTGAGCCAAACCAGCTAGAGCTGTAATGGTGGATTTAAAATACAAGATACTTATTATAGCCAGGCATTTAGTTATACTAGTATTGTACATTTCTCATGCAATAATAACATTTTTAAAGAAAAGTGATACAAACAGATATCATTCTAATATCCATTTTTCTTCTTTAGAGAACCTAGGAAAAGATATGTCAATTAGGAATGAGTATAAAGTTTTTAGAAAAATAGATGACAGGAGATAAAGTTAAAATAGTAGTATTAAAAATGAGTCCCTGTGAGAAGTTACTAAGCTGTTAGGTATCACTGTGGTACTTCCTTGGGAGGCTTTTTCTTAAAAAGGTAAGAACTTCCTTAAGGTTTCTGGATTATTGTGTAACTCTCCATTAATTTCTAGGTATCTGGTGACCCATCTCATGGGGGCAGATCTGAACAACATTGTGAAATGTCAGAAGCTTACGGATGACCATGTTCAGTTCCTTATCTACCAGATTCTCCGAGGTCTCAAGGTACAGACAGCACTAGTAATACTTTTGAGACATGAAATTCTCTCTCTTCTCTCTCTCTTCTATTTAGGACTTAAGGGGGTTAGGGGGAGAGAGACAAAAAAAACTTGTCTTGTGAAACATTTAGAACACTCCCAAATCACTAGTACAATCATAGAGTTACGAAGCCTGTGTTTACTCAATGACCACAATTACCAGCATATGGCCAATCTTGTTTCTCCTGTAGTCCCCAAGCCCTGGATTATTGTAAGGCAAGTCTAGACATCATCTCATTTCACCCATAGATACTTCAGAATGCATGTCTGAGAGTGGAGGACTCCTCATTATTACACCTAAACAGTAATAATAATTTCTTGATATAATCTAATATCTGGTCAGAGTCATGTTGAAACTTTAAAAAGATCCTTAAGGAGGCTACTTATTTGTGAGGGGGCAGATAAACAGTGTTTAAATTAAATCACTTTTGATATTTAGCTGCTTCGAATCTTCATTGAGCTATAGAGAACCAACTGGAAAATAGATTGCAAGAACTGTTTCACTCATTACTTCAGCTTGGAGTCGAGTTCATGGTGTGGAAATCATAGTTATGATAAATGCATAGACTACTAATAATTACTTGTTCTGATTTCTAATCCCATGGTTTATACTAGCAGTTCTTACTGTTTCCTGAAAATGTACTTCAAATAAGTCATATAAGGTGACAGTGGGAGGTTGGCAATGACTTCTTATTTAACTGACTCTTTTCTATTTCACAGTATATACATTCAGCTGACATCATTCACAGGGTATGTCTTGTGTTTTTTATTAAATTATTTTGGGGAACTGGTGGCAGGGGGGGCTGGAGGGAGACTGTCATTTAGCCAGGATCATTGATTAACTGTAACTTTACTCTAAGTTTAAATTGATTTTAAAAAGATGTATAGTTTTTACCAATTTAAGGCTAATTAGGACTAGATAGTGACTACAGAATGGAAATTGTCTGTTTATGGCTGGGTGAAGTCTTAATTTTATGTTAGGATCTAAGGAGAGAATTCACCGTGCACCATAAAGCTGTTCCTGTCCTCTCTGTCCTTCCTCCTAGGACCTGAAGCCTAGTAATCTAGCTGTGAATGAGGACTGTGAGCTGAAGGTAAGGCGAAGAGACGGTGGGAAATAATTGTTTCACTTTGTAATTACGGGTTTGATAAACCAGGCACATTTATACAGGGAATGGTTGGTTATATAAGCCATAACTTTATATCTGGAAAGTCATTTTGTCCTCAAGAATATCAAACTTTGATATTTAAACCATAGATTTAGTAAGCTTTCGTTTGTGTGTGTGTGTTTTTTAATATATTTTTATTGATTTTAGAGAGGGAGAAAGATAGAAACATCAATGATGAGAGAGAATCATTGATTGGCTGCCTCCTGCACGCCCCACACCAGGGATTGAGCTAGCAACCCAGTATGTGCCTTGACTGGAAATCGAACCGTGACCTCCTGGTTCATAAGTCGACGCTCAACCACAGAGCTACGCCAGCCTGGCAGCTTTAGTTTTAAATGACATTGAAGGTGGTGTCGGGTATCTTGTTTTCATTCTAAAAGTTAAATTTGAAATTTAATATATTAGTTATAATAAAGGAAAATTATAGTCTGAATATCAAGTAAGCAGTCCTGAAGAGATAATTATTAGATTAAATTGAAAAAATGGCAGAAGCCTTTTCATTCAAAATAGTTCAAATAAGATAAATAAATTATCTATAAAGAACAAGCAGCTCTGGAATTTTTTTGTTTCATTTCTTTTTTTAATATATATTTTTTAATTTTTCAATTAAAGTTGACATACAGTATTGTATTAGTTTCAGGTTTCATTTCATCTTTTACTCAAATTTTTAAAACATAATTTACATACAGTAAAATGCATCCTTTTAAGAGTACATTTGACAAATTTATATATCCATGTAAACACCAACTCAGTTATGATAAAGAACATTTCCATCACCTCAGAAAGTTCCCTGTGCCCCTTCCTAGCCGATCCTCACCCTTCTGCCCCTAATCCTGGCTACAGACAACGGCCGACCTGCTTTCTGATACTACAGGAAGATTTATCTTTTCTGGAGTTTCATGCAAATAGAATCATACAGTATTTGTGTGTGTGTGTCTGATTTTTGCTTAGTATATAATATTTTTGAGATTAATTTGTAGTGCGTGTTTCAATAGTTCATTCCTTTTTTTTCTTTTATCACTGAGCAGTATCCACTTTCTGAATATACCACAATTTGTTTATCCATCCATCCATCCATCCACCAGTGGACATTTGTTTCAATTCTGAACATTCATGTGTTAGCTTTTGTGTGAATGTTTCTTTTCCTTGCTCTTGGGTAAATACCTAGCAGTGGCATTCTTATTTTGCTTTTTGTAATTTCATTTTTCAAAGTACTTGCTGTGTTTCTCATGCATTCTAAATATAGACCAGGATGTATGTTTATGAAAGTACTATTTTGTTCTCCCTTTTTATAGGATTTTTTCATCTTGCTTTACAAGTCTTAGGAGGTTGACTCTTTCAGCACCTGATTTCTCTTCTTTCCCTTAGATCTTGGATTTCGGCCTGGCCCGACACACAGATGATGAAATGACAGGCTATGTGGCCACCAGGTGGTACAGGGCTCCTGAGATCATGCTAAACTGGATGCATTACAACCAGACAGGTATTGCTTACATTGGTTATTTAGGGCCTATTAATGCCATTTTGGGTTTATTTGGGATTCTCAGAAGTAGAGATAGTGGGAATAGGAGGAAACATCTTTTCTTCCCTCAGTGATCCTTTTAAAGTCCACAAATAGGAAATATTTCAGTAGCTCAGATAAAGTGGGATTTTTAATACATAGTTTTCAAATTTTGTGATTTAGCAATTGAGTTTTTATTTATTTAGATTTTCAGCTTATTCTCTGAGTATTTCTACCTGAAGACAATGGTTAGTAATCTTAGCCTCTCAGTATTGGGAGAATCTACGATTTCTACCAAGAAGAAACTTTTGCTCCTTTGTACACAGCTTATTTCTCTTGCCGTAATTATGTCTGGCCTTATCCTACCTATGAAGCCCTTTACTGGGGTGCAGGTCTTAATAAACTTACTTATTTCTGTAAAAAGGAGTATGATTGTTTAAACCAGATGCCTTAAATATTCGTGTGTTTCGCCCTTAGTTACAGTTTCATTGGGAGCCAAGTATGATAATAGTGACATTGTATGCACTGTTACTTCTCTTTAACTTTCCAGTTGATATTTGGTCGGTGGGATGCATAATGGCCGAGCTGCTGACTGGAAGAACATTGTTTCCTGGTACAGACCGTATCCTTTGAAAGTTTGGGTTCTTGTTTTTTAATTGTATCCCAGTGTCTGTGGGAGTATATGGCTTTTACCTGTCTCTAGGGAAGGTTCTCAGATACTTGCTTTTATAGTCCAGATATGCACATGAGATCTGCCCCTTGGCAAGAAGAGGCTTCGGTTTACTTTTGTGAGTTGGAAAAATTCCTCATCAGCTGGAAAACCCTTTAAAGCTGTCATATGTCATCATTTTGCAGTGAGTTTAAGATTATATTCGTATTCGGCGACCTGAGGGTATTAGTCTGCTTGTACAAACACAAATACCCAATTTATAAATCAGGGGTGTCTCTTTATGTTTGGTCTACATATTAAAAAGGCTATCCCTTTTTTTTTTGGTCTCTGTAATGATATACCTACTTGTTATGTTTGTTTAATAACAAATAATAAAAGAAGAAGTAGTAAGGTCACCCTGTTGTGTGCCTTTTTTTTTTTTCAGCACAACTTAATTTTTATCCCAGATAGTAGTCAAACCTTAATTCACTTCCAGACTTACTGTCTAGTTTGTGATTTATCATGGCTTCTTTATTTTAGCCCTTTCCTGTCTGCTGCATGCCTGCTTCACAGTTTAGTATTAGCATCAAAATGTGCTTTGTTGGAACTCCCATTGGTTCCACGGGGTGAAGATGTTTGTGAGAAAGAATGTTGAAATAATATTTCTAGAAATTAGGGTGGAAGATGTTTGTAGACTTCATGGGACTAGCCTTCGGGGGGGTTAGGTGGCCTCCGGAGGCGTGCATTCACCGGCTTCAGTCACCTGTGACCTGGAAGCAGTTTGTCCCCTCACTTATGCCAACTGTGGTTTATAAACCAGAATGTCAGTTTACTTGCGTAGAGTTTGGGATATGCTTCTATGGTGACCGATGTTCATGTTATCTGTCCACATGTTCTAACTGTCTCCTTCCAGAGGAAATGTACTTTCCTGGTGACCCTCGGGGAAGCTGTATTTTCCTGTGTCTCACTGGATCGATAGGGCTCAGCCTCCTTCTGTTTAGTTCACTTATGGCTCCTCATCTCCAGATTTGAAGTTAGTTTAATACCTGTGTTTCTCCTTTGTCTGTGCTTCATTCACCTTGTATCTGTTTCTTAGAAATTTGAGGTCAACATTACAGCCCAAGCTAATTGGGGAACATTTGTATTTCTCCTTTTCCTCAGGTACACAGCTCAGAGTCCCGCCCCTCTCTCTGTCTCTCCATCTGCCTTCAGGAGACACTGACACCTGCACGCATACCGGCAGGGGAGAGAGCACTGTTCTGGAGTCAGACTTCTGGGTTTCCCTGGGAGCTCTTTTACTCCAGCTGTGTGACTTTGGGCCGTTCCCCTTTTTCTGTCTCTCGGGTTCCTGAACTATAAAATGCTGATAATAGTACATACCAGTACCTCACACGGTGCTATGAGAATTCAGTGAGGTAATACATACCTGGGAACTGCTTAGCACAGAGCCTGCCAGGAAACGTTAGCCATCTTCTTCATTAATGATCATTGGGAAACAGTTTCTCCCTTCATCTTTGCACTCTGTTGTCTACCTATGAATCACTAAAGCAAGACTTTTTGCTTTATTTAAATTTATGGCAGGTAGTAAAGGATGGATCCGCTTGGCAGGCTGCTAGTAGAAAGGTTTCTAAGCAGTTGTGGCCTGTGGCTCACCTCGGAGACGCTGCCGACTCCCTGATGCTCGGCCCTTTTAGAATGCTGACTTGCAGCTTCTAAGACTCCTTCCCTTGTGTGCATACTTCTTTCCTCCTCTGAACTTTAGACAGAAAACCTAGCATTCAAACTCTTTATTAGGTGAGTCTTTTTTTAATACATGTGAATTTATTTCACAATTCTTATTTTAGTAATGCACTGTTTTCTACTTGGCTCTTTTTGAGGCAGATCAAATTCAGAAGATTTGTGTTTGTAACATATATCTTGTCAGTTGTGTCTCTGTGGATGTAGCTTTGGTTGCCTGACAAGGAGAGAGGGAAGTGATTTCTGTTATTTTTTCTTGCATGAAGTGTACGGTTGCTTCTGTTCTAGCACAGTGGTTCTTAGCGCCCCTTGTGAATACTTTGGGGAGCTTTACAAACCTCCCGAGGCCTGGGCACCCTGCAGACTCCACTTCGTTGGTGTGGTGAGTGCCCAGGCCTTGCAAGAGTGAAGTCCCGCTTGATTCTTGTGTGCAGCTGGTGTTGAGTACGTCTTGCATTTGGAACTGGTGGTTTTAGCTTTAGATAAGAACTAAGTATTACTGTGGTGTTGCAAATGTTTTGTATCTTCCTTTCCAGTGTGGTGATTGGTAGCCACCAGCCACATCTGGCTAGTGAGCGCTTAAAATGTGACTAGTGTGACTGAGGACCCTAAATTAAAAATATATTTGTAGTAAAATGTATTAACATAAAAATTTACCAATTACACTTTTTTTGTGGTAAAAATAAGCATAACATAAAATTTACTATCATGACCATTTTTAAGTATACAATGCAGTGGTGCTAATTATACTCACAAAGTTATATAACTATCACCATTCTCTAGTTCCAGAACACATCATCACACCAAACAGAAACTCTGTACCCATTCCTCCCTCTCGCAGCCTTTGGTTACCTCACTTCTAGTTTCCATCTCTATGAATTTGTTTATTCTAGGTATTTCATATAAGTGGAATCCACACTGTATCTGTCCTTTTGTGTTTGGATTATTTCACTTGGCATGTTTTCAAGTTTCATCCAGTTCTAGACTATATAGAAATTTGTTCCATTTTATGGCTAAATACTAGTCCATTATTTGTATACTAGAGGCTCAGTGCACAGATTCGTGCACCGGTGGGGTCCCTTGACCTGGCTTGCAGGGATCGGGCCGAAACCGGCCCTCTGACATCCCCCAAGGGGTCCCAGATTGTGAGAGGGTGCAGGCAAGGCTGTGGGACCCCACCAGTGCACAGTCGGGGCCGGGGAGGGATCGAGGGAGGGTTCTGGGGTGTGTCCGGCCCTTCTCGCCCAGTCCTGATCAGGGCCAGCTGGCTGGGGAGGGACCATAGGAGGTTGGCCAGCCAGGAAGGGACCACAGAAGGGTTCCTGGGCGTGTCCAGCCCGTCTCAATCCCAAATCCCAATCAGTCGGACCCCAGCAGCAAGCTAACCTACCGGTTGGAGCGTCTGCCCCCTGGTGGTCAGTGCACATCATAGCGACTGGTTGGACACTTAGAATATTAGGCTTTTATTATATAGGAGATCACATTTTGTTTAATCCGTTCATCTGTTCATAGGCACAGGTGGTTTCTACCCTTTCAGCTATTGTGAATGGTACTGCAGTGAACATTGGCGTGCAAGTACCTGTTTGAGTCCCCACTTTTAATTCTTTTGGGAATATACATAGAAATGGACTTGTTGGGTCATATGGTAATTCTGTGTTTAGTTTTTTTAGGAACTGCCAAACTGTTTTCCACAGCAGCTGCACTATTTTATAGCCCACCAGTGATGTATGAACAATTTCTCCACATCTTATCTTCACCAATACTCAATTATATTGTTTTCCTTCTCTCTCTCTCTTTCTTTCTCCCTCCCTTCCTTACTAGTATAGTCATCCCAGTAGGTATGAAGTGTTATCTCTATGTGGTTTTGGTTTGCATTTCCCTAATGACTAATAATGTTGAGTAGTTTCTCCTGTGTTTACTGTCCATTTGTGTGTATATATATCTTTTTTGAGAAATATACTAGTATATCAAATCCTTTACCCATTTTTTAATTGGGTTGTCTTTTTGATGTTGAATTTTAGGAGTTCTTTATCTATTCTGAATAGTAAACCTTCATTAGATATATGATTTGCTAATATTTTCTCCCATTCTGTGGACTGCCTGTTCAGTTTATTTATTTTTAATCCTCACCTGAGGATCTGTTTATTGATTTTGAGAGAGAGAGAGAGACAGAGAGAGAGACAGAGAGGGAGAGAGAGAAACATCAGATCTATCAGTTGCCTCCCATATTCACCCCGACCAGGGATCAAACCCACAACCTTTTGGTGCATGGGGATGACGCTGCAGCCAACTGAGCCACGCCAGCCAGGGCTATTCACTTTCTCAATATTGTCCTTTGATGCAGAGAAGTTTTCATTTTGATAAAGCTACAATTTATCTATTTTTTTTCTTTTGTTGCTCATGTTTTTGGTGCCATCTTTTATGACCAGATTTAAGGTCATGAAGATTTACTATTTTCTACTAAGAGTTTTATGGGTTTATCTGTTATACTTGGGTCTTGGATCCATGTTGAGTTAATTTTCTATATGACGTGAGGTTAGGGGTCCAGTTTTATCTTTTGCAAGTGGAAATTCAGTTGTTCCCAGCACCATTTGTTGAAGAGACTATCCTTTCCCCCATTGAATGGGCTTGGCATGCCTGTCAATGATCAATTTTATGCCATTGGTCTGTATATTATCTTTATAGCAGTACCATACTGTTTTGATTACTGTAGTTTTACAGTAAGCTTTAAAATCAGGAAGTGTAAGTCATGCAACCTTGTTCTGATTTTTAAGACTTTTTTTTTTTTTGGCTCTTTGGGCTTCCTTATAATTCTATATGAATTTGAGGGTGTGTTTTTCCACTTCTGCAAAAAAGCTGTTGCAATTTTTATAGAGATTGCATTGAATTTTTAGATCACTTTTGGTAATATTGACATCTTAACAATATTAAGTATTCTTTTCCAGGAACAGGTGAGGTCTTTCCATTTATGTAGATCTTTAATTTCTTTCAGTGATTTTTATAATTTTCCCCCCTTTTTTTCTCTCTCTCTCAGATGTTTCCTTCTAATGAACTGACCATTACATTTCCTAAGTTCTGAAATGGCCAACAGACCATAGAAAGACATTTCTTTAGGCTCCTGCTTGAAACCAGCAGCTTCAGCAAACTGCTGGCCTTGATTCAGGGCCAATGTGTTTTATGATTTTAGTGGACAAATCTTCCACCTCCTTGGTTAAATTTAATCTTAGGTAATTTAT